CTGAAGTTTTAGCAAATGAACTAAATAACTTCAGCATGTTTAGACTGAAATTTCGGATAAAATTCATGACAAAACTGTAGACTGCAGGATAAATAACTTCAGCATGCATTATCATGAAGTTTTAGCTTCAATGTGAAACAACTTTATGCTATATTAGCATGAAGTTTTAGCTTCAATATGACATAACTTCATGCTACATTAGCATGAAATTTTAGCTTCAAGGTGAAACAATTTCATGCAAGTGTGATTCTGAAGATGAATCTGGACAAGTTTCTCATTTTTTTTTATAAAGTTGCTGAGAGGAGAGGATGAGATCGTTTTATATCTTTTTTTAGGGATGTAATTGTCATATTATTATGAATTTTTTGTGAGATGGCTACCAAATCAATAATTTAAAAAAAAATATGGTACATGTTAAAAGGTACCACAAATATAGGGTACGGGTGCAAATCCCCCCTCAAGCATCCCCTAGGGCCCAGCCCGCTAATTAAAGAGGGGGGTATAGGCCCTCCTTTAGTCTGAGCAACACCAACCACTACATCAACGCCAGGTCATGACAATTTGTAGGAATAAGTAGGGGTGTCAATGGTTCGGTTTGACAGGTTATCTTATAAAATTTATGCCATATCAATTTTTCTGTTATTCTATTATATATAACTAAAATTAGACTTTTCAAAAGCGTCTCAATATCATATCGGTATCTCTTCGGTATTAGTACAATTCGATTATTTTTCAATATTTTTTGAATATCATGTAAAAGTCACTAGTAAAATTAGAATGCAATAACATTCGTACTTTTATAAGACTTAGCAAAACTCTCTAGATATTTTTATTGTTTAAAGGGTGATGGATTAAGAAAACATGAAAGATGATCAGAATATGGATCCATCAACTATTCTACAGTAGCGTAAAAGAAACTAAGCAAAGATAAAAAAATATATAAATCACACGAGTGAAAAGATATTAACCAAGTTGGGACTCGAGAATAAAGTTTATAGAAGATTAAATATTCAAAAAGATAAACCCAAATCATACGAAACGAAACATATTCAATACATTATAGTTTGTTACTCATAATCACTAGCTAGAATACTTTGTGTCTTGCAAGTAAATATGCTGGAAATAATTTAGTTTCAGTAGGAGTAGCATAATAGGTTTGAGAATTAGGATTTGAGTTTAATTACTTGTTGGCTTGTATCCGTTTTCATAATTCCAAGGCCCAAGAAAAATTTTAATACTTTATTATTTTTAAAATTAATATATAAATATATTTTTCACATATAAATTTATTCGGTACGGTTTGACATTTTTTGGTTTATTTTTATAAAATAAAAAACCTACTCTAATTATCGGTACGGTTATAGATTTATATAAAATCTACAGTTTTATTAAAAAAAACTTAAAATCGATTCGATGCAGTACGATTCGATCGATTTAATCGATTTTTGGATATCAATTGACACACCTAAGAAAAAGGCATAAAAACACACGTAAACTATCGAAATTGTCCATTAAACACTTATGCTTTGCGGGAGTACTATGACTCCCCGAACTATTTTAAGTATGAATTATTAACTCCCGCAAAGTATAAGTGTGTAACTAACAATTTCGATATAGTTGAGGTATGTTCTATGCCTTTTACCTAATTTGCACCTTAACGAATATATATTTCCTCCTCAAGGCTTGGTCAGAAATTAGAAGTTACAATTTAGATTGTTTTATCAGTATTTAACCTTTACCAAAGTTCATAATGATCAAGAACTGCTATATTTGATTCCTCCAAATTCTAGAATTTTTGTCCAACCGTGCAAGAGTAGAATTATTCTTCTCCTAGCCCTGGAAGAATATCCTTTGCTGCTTCTGATTCCCCTTGGATTAATTCTATTTTTGTCTTCCCCTTTTAATGGGTCTTCAATTATTTTTTCATATTAAGTAATTCTTCACCTTTGTTTTTTATGTGATTTTTTTTTTTTTTTTTTTTTTTTTTTTTTTTTTTTGCATATTTGCTGGATTCTCATGTTTAGGCATTTGCCTTTACTTCGAGGTGAAAGTAAATCAATTGTAAAGACGAGATACAGTGAGGGAGCAGAGGAGACTTCATATCTCAGAAATGTATATGTCTTCAAATTGCGATGTAATTGTAGTGCAGGTATCCCCGAGGTTATTGTTTACTGGTTTTATTATGTTTATGTCTTGCGATAAACACTGGTGTTAGGATGTTTGGAGTTGCCCTTTAATGCAACATTCATTTAATTTAACAATTTTTATACCTTAATAAATTATAAATGCAATGAATTTTCATATTTTAATGCACAATTTTTATCCATTATGATGGAATATAATGGTTGTGCCATTTTGAGTGCATCCACGGGTTTTTGAAAGCGAAAGTTGCTCAAGAGGGGGAAAAGGAGCACTACTTTGACTGTAGCAGGTAGTTTTCTCACTTTGTTTCAGCATTATTAAACTATAAATGACTTCCCTTGCTATGTGTTTCTACGAGTAGTGGTCATCATATGCTATGAAAAAAAAGTTAGAAAAATCCTACAATGTTAAACTAAAAATTATGAAGTATTGGAGATTTTGGGTGTTTGCCCCAGTTATCAACAATTTCGGGAATGAATGTGGGAGATTTGATGGATATTTAACAAGGAGAGTCTGAAGTAGTGCATTTAAGCCCACAAGATTGTCTTGAATTGTGATTTAAGCCCATAGTATCATCCTGCGTTGTGACATGGATTTTTCTGAAGGACTCCGACTGAACTCAAGATAGGTTCCTTATCTTTGCTGTTATACCAAATCCTTTTTTCTTTTTAAGTATTAATTAAGGTTATCTTTTTTTCCAAAAATAAAAGCAAGTGTAAAGAAACCATATAAATAAATTGAGAAAGAGAAGTAGTAATTTGAAGAGGAAATATTAACAATGTCAAAAGAACATTAGGATCTATCCTTTTTAGTAAGCAATTGAATTTTCAAGGTGATAATAAGATATCCACTCCGTATGTAAGAGAGAACCATCTCATGTATGTACTATATAGTCCATTTTTTTCTCCACCTATTAGAGTATCTATTGCAATGTGATGTTCTATTTGTGCTAAAAGAAATATATTCTTACATCTCAAACATGTTTTTTTTTAATCATAGAGTTTCTTTGCTGTGTGACTTAGTCCTCGTAATTTTTTTTGTTTTTCTAATGATGCTTGGTGATATATATAGGTGTGGATCAATATTTCTTGCTTCACATATTTGGCTTTCTTAATATAAGTAGGTGTTGATACTATTGCATCAGCATAGTGGGTTTATCATCATATCATCATTCATCAGCAGGACTGGACAAAACAATTTGCTATTATATGTGGTCTTTGATTTTCCTTTCTAGGGGTGGCTCTTTCATGCATATTGACAGGATACAAATAAAGAATTAAATTAAGTTATTAACTTCATAAAATAAATAAAAAGTAGCTTTCTATCTTTAAAAGAATAAACTAATTGGAAAAATAAAACTCGACTCATTTGAGTTTTGAGTCGAATTTAATTAATATTACCTACTTAAATAATTTAAATTAAATGTATATATTTATAAACTTTTTAAAACTATAATGAAAAATTGTTTGACTACCTCTTATAATAAGTAGTCATAGCAATAATAATGATAATGATAATGATGACAATAATAAGGGCAAAGGTCCAAATATGCCCTTGTACTATACGAAATTAAGCACATTTGTCATTCGTTAATACTTTAGCTCAAATATGCCCTTACCGTCACATAGTTGGTCCACATATGCCCTTAGAGTTAAACAGTTAGCCCATATATGCCCTTTTCGAAACGGAATTCATCCAAACTAATTAGCTCTTTCGTTAATTGTATTAAAGTGTATTACAAACATTATTTCCTTTTTATTAGTACTTTTTTCTTTACCTTTCTCTTTTCTTTCTTCTTTTTTCTTTTCTTCTCTTTTTTTCCCCTTTTTCTTTCTCCCTTATCCGTTTCCTCCATTACTGATGTTTTCTCCATTTTCGTCACCAATTTCACTTGACAAAACTCATGAATTCCAATTACTAAAAAAATTCTCCCATGAGGTAATCAAGTTCCAACTTCACTAGCCCTCTAAATAAACGAAATTAAATTGTTCCAAAAATTATGGTTTAAACTTTAAAATAATAAAAACATCTCAACCTTTAACAATACTCAAAAAGACCAAAATATTTAAATTATTTCCAGAAAGATAATTTAATAATTAAAAGCCCAGAGTTTAAGTTGTAGTGTTATAAATTTGAGTTGTTAGTCTTTTTTCATCTTTTTTCAGCTGGACATTTTCTATTTTTTTAGTAACTATGTAAATTAGGGTTGTACATGGAACGAGTTAGTTTAGTTTTTATCAAAACCAAATCAAATTAATTATATCGGTTTGGATTGTTCGATTTTGTTGGATTTTTCGGGTTTTTTGCTACATAAATATTATTTCAATCTTACTTTGTTAAATTTTTTAGAACTAAATATATGTTCAGTAAAAATTTAAAAATTGACAAACATATGATCTATTAAAATATTCTTATGCGAGAATTTTCTTAGTAATTGAAATTCATGAGTTTTGTCAAGTGAAATTGGTAACGAAAATGGAGAAGACATCAGTAATGGAGGAAATCGGATAAGGGAGAAAGAAAAAAGAGAAAAAAAAGAGAAGAAAAGAAAAAAGAAGAAAGAAAAGAGATAGGCAAAAAAAAAGTACTAATAAAAAAGAAATAGTGTTTGTAATACAATTAACGAAATAGCTAATTAGTTTGGGTGGATTCTGTTTCGAAAAGGGTATATATGGGCCAACTGTGTAACTCTAAGGGCATATATGGATCAACTATGTGACGATAAGGGCATATTTGAGCTAAAGTATTAACGAAGGGCAAATATGCTCAATTTCATATAATACAAGGGCATATTTGGACCTTTTCCGTAATAATAATAATAACATTTTCTTCTCTTTCCCTATATATATATATNAACTATCAACTGGGCCGGTGGGCTCCACCATGCAAAAAAAAGTGAAGCTTCTGGATTTTGCTATGTCAATGATATTGTTCTCGGTATTCTTGAGCTCCTCAAAGTTCATAGGGTAAACATTTTTTACTTGCTAATATTACATTTTTGTTTTTGTAATAAATGTTCCCTGATAGCGTGTAAGTTATAACTAAAGTACATTGTTTTGACATATATTATAGAGTTTAAGCTATATACATTTTCATTAGAAAGAATTCTTACACCATCAGTTTACCTTTGCCTGTTGTAGCAGGTAACATGTGTCAACAATATAGTCTGGCTACAATAATGAATCAAAAACACACTAGGCACAAACCAAATGAAGGATATTGTTGTAACTTTAGTCTTTACATTCTGTTTTCAATAAAATGAGCCAAATACTTGTGCCTAAGCCTTGGTGGGCGGATGCCGTGTACCTATGTTGGTAGGAGGTAGTAGGTACGTGATAGAATAGTCGAGGTGCGCACAAGTTGGCCTTGATACCACCGTCACACAAAAAAAAAAAAGAAAAAACAAAAAAATGAGCCAAATACTGGTGTATAGAAGCACTATTGTTCCCCTATATGACTACCCACACATTATCTTATGGTTGTATGGGGAATATTTTTGTATTAAGTGAACATTCTTTTCGATATTCTCTCGTTTCCCACTCCTGTTATTCCTAGCACCAGTGTAGAACAAAAGCAATTAACTTTAGGCTTTAACTTAAACCCTTGGATGATCTCGGTAGCATTGCCTTAATGCTAACTTTGTAGTGCTTTTGAATCGCTAACTCTTCATTTGACAATTAAGTCATCTTGATTATTAGTGTGCTCCTTTATAAAATTACTACTCCCTTTGTCTAGTTTTATGTGACCTGTTTGACTATTTGAGGTCAAAATTATAATGATTAACTCAAAAAGTGGCAGCAAAATGTGAAAATTGAAACAGTACTTCAAGAGTTAAGTTGATGATTGATTTTTCAAAATGTTTATAACTATCATGATCAAACGTTAAAAAATTTGAGTACAGAGTTCAAACAGTGACATATGAATTGCGACAGGAGGGAGCATAATGTACCACACCCAGATAACAATTAGTGAATATTGAAAATTGCTGGGAATACATACTGTGTTGGATGAACTTTAAGGTTCCCAGAAATTTCTGATATCTCCAACTAGAAAACAGTAGACAAGGGGGTAACTTGACAGCTTCATCTCCTTGTGAATACTCTATTTTAGATTTTAGACTCACTCCGTATTTGGATAAAATTTTAGCTAAGTTTAAAAAAGGGTGAGATGACCGATTTCGTTTTCTTTGGGAACTAGGACTAAGGAAAATCAGTTCAGAGTTTTATTTAGGTGTTTGATCCTAGTGTTTAGTTAGTTTCTTATCCAATGTTATTGAAGTATTTCTATTTCCTTATTCTTTCATGTTCACAAGTCAAGATGTATTACCCTTGATAATCTATTTGTTTTGACATAGTGCTTTATCGACAATTTATAAACATCAATGGTATATATCATTTTATGTTTCATTTTAGTTTTGTATGCTTCAGTGTTGAAGTTCTTTTGGAGTCTATTGTTTATTGTTTAAATCATGAAACTTGGTTAAGGTTGAAAGCATATATGATTGTAACTTTTTTTTTTTAAAAATAGAATTGATTGTAAGATTGTTGTTAGATTTACAAAAGGTAACAATCAAAAATCATATCTCATAGTGAAAATTTATCACCTTTGGATGTTTGTATGGATGTTGCATTGGATCATATGTTTATCAATTTGTTCGATTTTTACTTAACATATATTGATATATGAAATTCTTTATTTGTAGATCTAATAGATTTAATTCAATGAATTTCTATTTACTGTGACTAATAAAGCCGTAAAAACGAGAAAAGCTGAAACCATAAAACCAATTCTGTTGGTTTGGTTTATATATTTAGCAAAGCGACATGGTTTGTTTGGTTTAGTTTTAGGTAAAAATCGAGTTAAACTGAACCATGAACAGCCTAAAATGTAACAACCATTTTGTATTATTAAAAAAAAGAAAGAATTACAACTCATGTAAAGAAGTGATGATGCCATCATTTAGTAGGGGTGCGTTGTACTTTCTCATGTTTTTGTACATTGGGTGAAAAGGAATTTCTGTGTCTAACGCATTATGTGGCCCTGCCCTTATGTGTAAGTTTCTCTTAAACCATTTTGAGGAGGATGAAGCAAACAAAAGGTATGCATGATGCCCATGGTTTATATCCTTGTGGATTGGTTGATTCAGGTTGTAGCATTTGGTGCAACTTCAGAGAAGTGTTATGTGCAGGGAATAAATCATATTTACTGTCTTTATGAATTATTGAAGCTTAAATTACTTATCTGAGGAAATGGAAAAAGGAGAAACCAAAAGCATTAGCAAGTCCCTAGTTTAAAGTTCAGTAAAGCAGATAACTTGAATTTGATTCTGTCAAATCTATGCTGGAGAATATGAAAAAACCTGCCTATTATCATTGTGTTAGCTAAGATAGATGTGTTCCATCTCTATGGAAACATCTCACATATCATAAAGACAAGTTAAAAGAAATATTGACACATTACAATTTCAAGTTGCAATCTAGTTCCACCACTACGTACATATATTTGTTAAAACTCCACTCAAGTGGTTAATCACATTGAGTCTCAATAGAACTTACTAATTACTAGGTTAAGTACTAATCTGTAAGATTTCTAGGGAATGGAACTTAGTTGATTGCTCGTCATTTCTCTGCTTATCAAATATAAGGCGCAGGGCATGGACTGTTACTCCACTAGCTATCATGTGGGTTATTTGGAGAGAAAGAAACAGGAGCTTTTGAAGGGGGTACAAATGAGTTTTATTCAGTTGAGAAGTAGCCTCTTTTCCCTTGTTTTCTTTTGGTGCAGCCATGAAGCTCCTTGTTGTATAGAAGATTGGGTCTCTTTCGTAGAGAACCATAGCTTTTTGTAGGTTCTCTACTTTTTGGTATACCTCTTGTATACGGGTGCTTTTGTTTTGGCCCATTCATTTATGAAAATTTGCTTACTTGATAAAAACTTAACTATGGGATCTGGATAATTGTTGCATATTTGTCTTTACATACAATAATAAGCTATGGCTTCACAGCATCTTTTGCTTGGATCCACTCTTTTGCATGGAATAGAGATTCTTCTGAGGTTACCGTTCCTCTGAAATGTTGAGTGTTTTCTGCAGCGTGTATTGTATATAGACATTGATATTCACCATGGTGATGGTGTTGAGGAGGCTTTTTTCACAACGGATAGAGTCATGACAGTGTCTTTCCATAAGTTTGGGGACTTCTTTCCCGGTACAGGGCATATCAAAGATATTGGTGCTGGTCAAGGGAAATACTATGCCCTAAATGTCCCATTGAATGATGGGATGGACGACGATAGTTTTGGTCGTCTATTTCGTCCCGTAATTCAAAAAGTCATGGAGGTCTATCAACCTGATGCTGTCGTTCTTCAATGTGGGGCTGATTCACTGGCTGGAGACAGGTTGGGTTGCTTCAACTTGTCTGTCAAGGGCCATGCAGACTGCCTTAGATTCCTCAGATCTTTCAATGTCCCTCTAATGGTATTGGGTGGTGGAGGTTATACCATAAGAAATGTTGCGAGGTGCTGGTGTTATGAGGTCCTCTTACCTTTCCATCTTGCTCTTTTGTGTCTACTTTTCGGATTCCCTACTGTTACTACTATGTGTTTCAGAATATGTGCTGAGTTTCAACTGCTTGTTGCAGACAGCAGTTGCAGTTGGGGTAGAACCAGGAAATAAATTGCCATACAATGAATATTATGAGTACTTTGGCCCAGATTATACTCTTCATGTTGAACCAAACCCCATGGAGAATAAGAATTCACCCAGGGATCTGGAGAAGATCAGGTAATTTGACAATTGTGCTACTTCCTGTAGTTTGAGGGCTTTTCCATCAGCGTCTGTCGAAAATAGTGACCTTATCGGATTTTCTGGATGTGTTAGTTAAACACTCGTTTCCTATGCATTTTTATGCATTATTTTGGTGCTGAACAGAATTATGTTGAAGTTCTTTTAATTTTGGGCGTGTGACATTAGTTGATAACAGATAATGGGTAATACTGGTACATCAAATTGATGCCTCAGTGGTGTACATGTGATAAATTCTGTTATTCTATCCGTAACTAAATTTACTAGTATAGGACATTTCGGGTTCATCCACGAACAGGACATTTTTGGGTTCGTCCACCCATGAATAGGACAATTTCGGGTTCGTCCACCCGTGAATAAGGCATTTTGGGTTTGTCCACCCATGAACAGAACATTTCGGGTTCGTCCAACTAAGGATTGGGCATTCTGGGTTCGTCCACCCAAGAACATAGGTGGAGCCAGGATTTGAAGTTTGGGTTCTGAACTTACCATCGAACTCATAGCTCCTTTTAGTTATTGGGATCACAATTAAATATTTATACATTAAACGTAATACAAAGAGAGGGTATACGCAAAAGCTACTGGGTTCGTCTGAACTCGTAAGTGATACTCTAGCTCTGCCTTTGCCCAAGAATAGGGCACTTTGGGTTCGTCCACCCAAGAATAGGACATATCGGGTTCATCCACCCAAGAATAGGGAAAGATTCTGCCTTTTGTTTTGTTAATGATGGTGAACTCTATACTCTATGCAATTATTTGATATAATATGCTGACAAATACATTTTCTTTCAATCCATAAGTTCCTAATTTTCATCCTCGGGCAATTTGTGACTCAGACAAATTTGTCCCTCTTTTCCTTTTTTCTTAGAGTGAATACACAACCCTGTAGACGTTACTTGACATGAATGCTTGCTGGCTGCAGGAACATATTGCTTGAGCAACTCTCACAATTACCTCATGCACCTAGTGTGCCATTTCAAACCACTCCTTCTACAACGGAAGTTCCAGAGGAGGTTAGTGGCCGGTAAAAGGCCTTGATCATTTAATTTCTACATATACTGCACAACCTTATTCTAGGACTTCTGACTGCAGGAAGAGGAAGATATGGATCAAAGACCAAAACCACGTATATGGAATGGAGAGGATTATGGGTCTGACGCTGATGAAGATGAGCATCCTAGACAACGAAGTTCAGATAGTAATCTTACTCCAGTCGAAACAACAACTGACATGAGGTAGGGCCTCAAGTTGCATTAAGCACATTTGTGAATATTTGTGTTTTGTAAAACAAGGCACGCTTGTTTATCCTCTACTGTCTTCACATTTTTGGAAAGTCGTTACTTGATAAAGTTCTGGTATTTGGTTGAATGTTTACTGGTTTGAGCTTTGACTTGTAATGTCTGAACGAATGTCATGAGACCAGCCTTAATCAACCTTTGCTTTGGAGAAGATTCTGATTAAGACTCCCAAAGAAATTTTATTGTCAAGATTTAGTGCTTTTACGAAATGAACATTCCCTTCTATAAAAAGCTGAATTGATGTGACCTGTGATGCAGGGATGTCGATGACCAAGCCAAAGTAGACGACGACATGGTTGATGCCGATCACTAGTTCAAAGCTATCTTCTACATCTTGCCAAGTGCAATAACTGATAATTTGTTCTGGGTTGAAATTACAAGCCATGATCTTTAAACCTTCCCCTCTACTTATCAATTGTTCCTCAGTCTCCTGTGCTAAAAATGGAAGTAGAAATATGAGCTGTTATACATGGGAAAGTTGCACTTGAATGTGGCAATGGAGTATTATAGCTGAGCTCAAGTTTTGTGTTTGCAGATTAACTGTGTAGATTGTAGTCCGTTGGTTTTAGATTATAGATTTATGAGGTTACATGCGAAAAGTGGGAGCCGGATGATATACTTGGAAACGGACAGTTGCATCACAAAAGTAAACAGTGTCCTTTCTTCCTACCGATATCCGTGCTGATAAGTAGGGTGTACATGAACCGGGTTGGTTCGGTTTTTATCAAAACAAAATCAAACCAACTATATCGGTTTGGATTGGTTCGGTTTTGTCGGGTTTTCGGATTTTTTGTTACTTAAATATTATTTCAATATTACTTTGTTAAATATTTGATAAGTAAATATAATTTAGTAAAAATATAAAAAATTGACAAACATATTATCGATTAAAATATTCTTATGGGAGAATTCTATTAGTAACACATAATAGTTAGTTTTTTAATTGTCTGACAATAATTTTTCGTTGATTTACACTTTCAGGTTAACCAAATTTAGTAATTAAACATAAAAATCAATATGATATTTAAATATTAATAATCACTTCACATTCGAAAAAGATAAAGGAATTTAATAGATCTTAACATATGATATGATATGTATATGAAAGAATAAAGAGACAAACGTATTTCAGTCATACTTGATAAGAAAATGATTATACAATTCATTATTTAAGCGGAAAATGGCCAAAAATGCCCTTGAACTATCTGAAATAGCTCAAAAATGCCCTTCGTTTGTTTTTGGTACCAAAAATATCCTTGCCGTCTATTTTTTGGACCACAAATGCCCTTAAACTGTTTGTCTTGTCATTGAAGGTGACATGACAGTCCAACTGGGTTAGATTTGCTTACATGACCATCAATCTAAGTAGTCCAACATGGCAAAATTATTTTTCCGGAATTTTTTTTAAAATACAAAATCAACACTCATTCCGAAAAAAGTAAAAAAAAATCTCGAAAAATTATTTTCTGAAAAAATAATTTTCCGATTTTTTTTTTAAAAAAAATACAAAATCAACACTTATTATGAAAAAAGTAAAAAAAATTCCGGAAAAATTATTTCCAGAAAAATAACGGTTTAGTGGCATTTGGACCACAAAATCAACACTTTTTGGAAAATTACTTATTTCGAAATTTTTTATTAAAATACAAAATCAACACTTATTACGAAAAAAGTAAAATATTTCCGGAAAAAATATTTTTCATTATTTTTTTTTTACTTTTTTCGGAATAAGTGTTGATTTTGTATTTTAAAAAATATTCCGAAAAAATATTTTTTTTGGACAATTATTTTTTCGGAAAATAAGTTTTTCAGATTTTTTTTTTACTTTTTTCGGAATAAGTGTTGATTTTTTGTATTTTAAAAAAAAATCCGAAAAAATAATTTTTCCGAAAAAATAATTTTGCCATGTTGGATTGCTTAGGTGGATGGTCATGTAAGCAAATCTAACCTAGTTGGACTGCCATGTCACCTTCGATGACATGACTAACAGTTTAAGGGCATTTGTGGTCCAAAAAATAGACGACAAGGATATTTTTGGTGCCAAAAACAAACAGAGGGCATTTTTGAGCTATTTCAGATAATCCAAGGGTATTTTTGGCCATTTTCCGTTATTTAAGGTCAATAAATATTGAGCACTTCATATTCTATTAAAATTTATATTCCGCAAGAGAATCCCAAATATTTCTCGATATTTTTTAAAGAAAATTCTATATAAAATCTTAAAAGTATATATAAAAATTATATATTTATTTGTCGGGTCGGGTCGAGTCGAGTTTTTTTACTCAATACCAAACCAAATCAAACTAAACCAAGTCAGCTTTTTTAATCGGTTTGGTTTGACTTTTCGATTTGGTGCGATTTTTCGATTCGGTTTGCACACCCTACTTATAAGATACAATTATCTGTTGCCTGTGAGGGTTATCCATGTAGTACTGTGGATTTATCCATGTAATTTTCAGACAATGATAATTTAATTTCTTATGTCAAATAGAGGGTGCTGATCATTAATTGATCAGTCTCCTACTTGTCAATTGGCCGCTAGTAGTATCACAGGCCACTATATCTAATATTCTTGGACTCGGTAAAAATCTTGAAACTTCACTAATGCTTGATTTTAGCCATCGAGGCTCTTTGCAACTTCTTCAATACGTCTTGATTGTTCATGTGGGTAGTTTTATTGTTTGAAAACTTGTATTTTTCTGTCTTAAATTAAATAGTTTAGCAATTCGCGGTTAGATTTACAAGTATTTTACTAAAAAGATGTAATTTTCCCTATATTGTCAAGAACAAAACGCTAAAACTCCAAAATCAGTTACATTTAAGGGACTTCCTATTTTAGCAAAGTGAATCGTCTACTTATAAATCAATTGCTACGAACAAGTTTTCGTCTTGTAACACTATGAATTCACTAGCAGCACAAAACTTCAAAATCTCCATCCAAATCCAACCCTCACTTCAATGTTTCCTCCTTCCTTCTTCCCCACCCAAATTCCTCAAAATCCACCATAAACCTCAAAACCCCATTACTCTAAAATTCTGCCCAATTCAAGCTGCTTCAAACCACAAAAACATCACTTCCACAAGTCAAGAAAAAGAAGAAGAAGAAGATGATGGCATCCCCATTGAACATGTCAAAACCCTAGTCAAATTCAAATCCAGGCACAACTACATCCGTGTTCTACAAGTTTCTAGAAGAGCTGACCACCCATTAGCTGGGTCTCGCCTTCTTCTTCTAGATGCTCCTGGTAACATCCACAGCATATCTTTCCTTTTCAAGTCAATCACCAATGCCTATTACGATGTTCTTGCAACTCTTCCTCCAATTTTACCACCTGGGCCTTTAGGAATACTCGGGTTCGGAGCCGGGTCGGCTGCAAAATTGATTCTTGAAATCTACCCACAAGGTGTCATCCGCGGATATGAGCTTGACCCAGCTGTGGTCTCTGTTGGAAGAGAATATTTTGGGCTTTCCAAAGTTGAAAAACAATACCCAGATAGACTTTTCATTTACATTAGCAATGCACTTAATGCTAGTGTGAAAGATGGATATTCTGGGCTTATAGTGGATTTGTTCTGTAAAGGGTGTTTGATTCCTGAGCTACAGAACGCAGACACGTGGCAGAAATTGAAAGGGAAGTTGAGGAAAGGAGGGAGGATAATGGTGAATGTTGGAGGGAGTTGTGTAGAACCAGAGGATATTAGAAAAGATGGGAAAGTGATAATGGAAGAGACTTTAGAGGCAATGAACAAGGTTTTTCCGGGAGAGGTGTTTGTGTTGAATCTTGGAAATAAAAAACAGGAAGATAGTACAGTTGCTCTTGCAGGTGGATTGCCTGGTTTGGAGAAATGGAGGATGTCTTTGCCTAAGCCTTTGAGGTTTTATGTTGATATGTGGAAGAAGTATGGTGGATAAAAAAAGGCGTGGTGCATTGAGTATTCCGCGTTTATGCAAGGTTCGGGAAAAAATCGCAGCCCAAGAAGATATGATTTAAATAGCCTATTTTAATACAAGCGTTAGTGGCTAACTTTACTACTTAAACCTGTAACCTATTGGTCACACAAATATAATTTTGTCGCTCCCTTTCGAAAGAAGTATGGAGGATAATAAGTCTAAATTCTTTTGCAAGGCATATTGTTTTTGTTTGATTGACTATGAGGAAATTAAAACTATAGTTGCATTATTGTTCAATATGTTGTACTCGAGTTTTTCCTTAGTGCCATGATTCAATTTTTCCTCTCTGTCAAGTTATTATAAGCCAGATTAAACTGGGTTTGTTGTTGTTACTGTCAAATCATTATAAGAAGGCAAAATACATAAGTTACCCCTTAAATTATTGACCAAATTTCTATTACACACTTTTTGCAGATGAAAATTACCTTACACACTCAACCTTTTCAAAGTGTCTAATACACACCAGTTTGCCCGCGTGGCTAGTGCGTGTTTTTCCCAACAAGTGAAGCACGTGAACATGAGAATTTTTGTGTATATGTCAATTTTTTAGTTTTTAAATTTTTTTAAATTTGGTCATCTTCTTCCTTGTTTAAAAAATTCACAAATCTGTCATGGCTGCTCCTTAACACTTATACCCACTTCTCTCCACTACCCCATCTCCTTCTTATCAAATAAACCCACTATGATTTTTCATATCTCTTCTCGTTGATTATTTTTTAGCTTTTTGCATATATTTTGTCTAAGAAATTGTGATTAGATTCAGATATTAAAGCTTTTGTTAGCTCCCCCAAACCATTAAAGCTTGGCTCAAGTTTTTGCATAGAAGATTATATTTTTGTAGAGAAACTTAGCTTGAGTTTTTACCGTGGCGAAATCAAATTTATCGGAAGGGTGAACTTCTCAACAAAAAAAAAAAATCCAACCATTAAAGCTTAGCTCAAGCTTTTGCACATAAGCACATTCTTTAATTTTGTTAATGGGTGAATTTTCAAATAAGTAAATCGTGAAGTTCTTAATTTTCTTCTCTAGGAAATATACTTTCCTCCTTATTATTACAACCTCGTTGCTTCAGTTATGGGAGTTGGAATGGCACAAATAGAAAATTGAAATAAGGTAATGGTACTTAATGATGATTGGACTCTTACTAAAGAGAAATGAAAAACTAGGCGGATCTGCGTTCAAAATTTCTGATTCCCTTTAAGTGGAAAAGATGGATTTTTGGATATTTTATTGGTAATTTTTATTTGTTAATGGTAGCTTTATCTTTAAGTGAAAGGTGGGAGAAGAGGCTATGGTGGTTGATGGTGAAGAGAAAAAAGCGGCAGCCATGGTGGTTTAGACGGGGAAGATGAGGGGTAAAATTGTGATTAAGTGTTTTCTATTTTAATATAAAATAATGACACATGTCAAGACTTTATTGGTGCATGACATTATACATATTTTGAAAAATTGGTAAAAAAAAAAAGTGGTGTGCATTAGGCACACTCTAGAAAGATTGAGTATGTAAGGTTATTTGCA